ACTGAGTCTATTACTAAATAACTAAATGACAAATGATTTAAATAATGTGACTAGGTGTTGATCTTGATGATCATAGATCTGCAAATGTGTATCAAAATACAGAATGTCAAAAAATGTTAAATATATTAAACATGTTTAACATATTTAATATAGTTAATATGTTTTATATATCAGATACATTTAATATAATTAATATTTTTGATATATCAAAATATTTAAAATAAATACAGTCAACTCTTAATACAAAATTTTGGTATAGTACAGATTTTTTTATATTAAAAACCTTACTATTGTTAGATTTAATTCTTTTGTTTATGTATTTATAAACAATTTGTATTGTGAGCAAAAGGTTTTAATGAGTAATTATTGAATAAAAATGAAGTAATTATGATAAGAATTTATTTAATAATATTAATTAATCAGTGTTACCTTAATGTCAGCACTCTATACTTTCACTCTATACTTTTGCTATATTAATATTTTAAATTCTATAAATACTAAATACTAAATTTTAATTAATTAAAACTATGTAATTACAAATTTGTTACATAAAAATTGAATAATAAAATACTAATAAAATCAGAAATTAAAAATAAAATAATAAAGTGTTACAAAATGCGAAATTAGAAAATTAAAAAGGTGAAAATTAAATTATCGTGAAGATGTAAAAGAAGAATTGTGAAGAGAATGTTTTTAAAAAATAAAATAAAGGTGAATATGAGATATTGAGTTATTTTAGAATTTCTAGCTCAATATATAAAAAAAAATTTTAATTAGGCCAACCTAATATTTTGACTATTTATTATACAAGCGCCTTGACAAATAAGCACCTTGACAAACTGGCACTATGACATCCTAACATCTTGACATCTTGGCAAATGATTATTAAAGAGATTAACTGTAATTATCAAGAATGATTTCAAGCAAAATTATGAAAATTTCAGCCAAAATTATATTTAATTGTAACACTATACAGAATTTTACTAGTTAAAAGCCATATAACAATGTATGAAAAAATTTTATAAATATAATATATAAAATGACCCTTTTTAACGAATTTATTTATAATGATTTTTTTTGATTCAATGAAAAATTTGAAAGATAGATATTACATTAAAGAAAACAGTCTTAAAAAAGAAAAAAAAAAATATTAGTAAATGTTTTCAAAGAAGCTCACCTACCTCAAGAAGAGAAATTTAACTTATCAGTTAGTTTTTAAGATTCAAAGAAGACCAGTTCTAAAAAAATAAAATAAAAAAATAAAAATTTAAAATAAAAAGATCAAAAGAATAAAAAAATTATTAAAAAATAAAAAATACCTCCTCTTTCTCAATAAAAAAAACCAAAATAAAAAAATTTATTAAAAAATTAAAGATCAAAAGAATAAAAAAAATTTATTAAAAAATAAAAAATATTTTTTTCTCTCTGATCTCAAATAAAAAAAAAATTAAAATTTAATATCAAATAAAATTTGAAATTTATAAATTAAAATATTAAAAACTTAAATATATCAGTTAATTATATTTTAAATTAATGTATATAATTAAAGTTATAAAAAATAAATTCAAAATTAGCATATCATAAGTATTAATAAAATTAAATCTGAAAAAAATGAAAAAAAAAATTAAAAAAAAAATTAAAAAAAAAATTAAAAATACAAAAAATGGAAAGAATAAAAAAAGATATAAAAAATAATATAAAAGATAGAAAAGTAGAAAGAAAAATAAAAAAATAAAAAATAAAAATATAAAAGCTGAAAATTTTTTAAAAAAAAGTTAAAATTAAAAAATTATTTAAAAAATTAAACTGAAAATTAAAAAATATTAAAAAATAAAAATAAAATAAAAAATAAAATAAAAATATAAAAAATAAAAAAAGCTAAAATTAAAAATAAACTGAAATTAAAATTAAAAAATAAAATAAATATGAAAAATAAAAAAAATATTAATTTGTAATCAATTAAAAAATAAAAAATCACGATCTAAATTGAAAAAAAAATAAAATATAAAAACAAAATTAAAAAAATTAAAACAAGTGATTAAAAAAAAAAAAAAATAAAATAAAAATGATAAATATTAATGATTAAAAAAAATTAAACAATAAAATCATCATAGATAATTTTAATTGATCTAATTGGATAACATTATTATTATAATAAATTATTTATTATATATATTAAATAATTCATTATAGTGATAATGAATTTTTTATAAAAAAGATCTGATCAGCTTAGACGTCAAATTCATTATATTAAGTTTTGATTTTATAAATAAGCTCTTTATAAGTTAAGAAAAAAACAGACTGATGGCTGTATAAAAATCTTTCTTGTAAAAGATAATGCAATGCTACTCTTCTACTTTGTATACTTCTTTTATTTATTTTATTTTTTTATTTTTATTATATCTTATCATCTTATTATTTTCTTTTTATTTTAATAAAATATTACTTATTTCTATCATAAACTCTTTGTGATTACTGAGAAAGTCTAACCTATAAATAAAATTACTCATATTTAGTAAACTCAATTCAAATTGATAAAGCCAGTAGTAAAATAATTAAGATTAACATAAAATTAATTAAAATTAAATGTTAACTATAAAAGAGTTAACCCTTTAATACTGCATTTAACAGTATTAACCCTATACTTAGTCTGTTAAATTTAGGGTAACTATGACTTAATAACAGAGAGTAATGTGTGAAAAACTACTAAGTTATTATAAAATAAGTCCTATTACAATCAACTTTAAGTTTATTCTTTTAGATGAGTAAATAACTTTAACAATTTGTAAACATGATAAACATAATTAACACGTTGAAGAATTTTTAATATGTGTAATTTAAAAAAAAATTCCTTTATTATAGAGATTTGTATGTTTAGCAATCCTTAACTTTGAATTCTAAGTCTTGAACTTGAACTATTGAGTTTATATTGTTATCTCTGCCCTTTTGCAAAAACAAATTTCTATCCTATTTATACAAAAATATAATTATAAGAAATTACTATCTAACACTAAACTATTTTATAGCGATAAGATAAATTTAAAAGATAAATTATAATTTAACGATGATAATAATATAATAAATAATAATAATATAATATATGAATAAAATAAATAAACTAAAAATATTAATTAAGTTAAAAATGCTAATGATATTAATAACATTGATCATTCATTAATCTTTATAGCACAATAAGATTGACTTTATATGGTATTAATTTCTTCTTCTAAATTTGCAGTTTCTGCAAAAATTTTATAGGCTTCATCAACTAAGTCCTTAAACTCCTGGGATTTAAGATTATAAATCGTCCTAAGAGTTATTTTTCTAGTATGTCTAATTTGTGTGATTCCTAGAATTTCAAAAAGATAGTAGGTTCTTTTTGATAACTGCTGATAGTATAAAGTTATTTGGTTCCTAATTGAGTTCGTTCAGCTGGACTTGAAGTTCTCTATATTTTAACCTAATAGCTTGTAATAAAGCTCTATAAGTAGTTTTGACCTTTTGCGCAATTGAGTCAGTCTCTATGTAAGGTGGAAAAATATTAGTATCTGCTAAGATATTAACAGCCATCAAATCATCCTTAACTTTTTGAAATAAGGTCATTATGCTAAAAAATTTTGAGAAATTTTCAAAGGAATTTGATCCTTTATATAACAATCTGAAGCTCTTAATTTTAGCGATCAAAATAAGACTTTAATAGATTTCTATTTATAGGTATATGTAACACTCTTCTATTTATTTCTCTTATATTATATGATCTATTCATTAAAACTTGATGGATATAATAAAAACCTTTCCATTTTGGGTTTAGTTTGTTAGACCATTGCTTATCTTTAGCTGCATTATAGTAAAGAACTTTATCTCTAATTTCAAATTAATAAAGACAATCAATTTGTCTATCATGATGATTCTTTTATTTTTGTTATGCGATTGCAATACAATTTCTTGCAATTTCTCTAGTTTGTGGTAATTGATTAACAAAATCTTGTAAATGTTTGGATAATGTGACATTTTGATCGTCAAGATCGTCCAGAGGTAATGTTGCATTTCTCCCATGCATAAGATAAAAAGAAAATATTTTTGTGACAGAGTGTTTGCTTATACAATATGTAAACAAGGTTGGTGCAATTTGTAGATCCTACTTATCTAGATCTTGTGTTGTTTTTGCTAAAGATTCACATAAGGTACAGTTAAAACATTTCACTAAACCATTTGTTTGAGGTGATAAGGTGTTGATAGTAGATATTTAATTTTGAATTTATCCATCAACTCCTTGATCATTTGATTATTAAAATGGATTCCTCTATCAGAAAGAATTTTTGTAAGGTATCTGTAATGACAGATTATATATTCATAAATAAATAAGGCAACCTGTTCTGCAGTAGCTTCAAGAACAACTTTAACTTCAGGCTATTTAGTAAAATAATTAACAGCTACAATGATATATTTATTTCCATTTAATGTTATGGGTAAAGATCTAACGAAATCTATACCAATTTGATAGAAAGGTGCTTAGACTAGTATAGGGTATAGCTCTTCATATTTCTTTGGCTTTTCTTTTCTCTGGTAACTATTGTAAGAATAAACATATTCTCTAATATTTTCATATAATTGTGGCCAATAGTATTGTTCTTTGATTTTATCGAACATTATGTTCACTGCAAAATGTCCAGCAGTTGAATCATTATGCATCATATAAAGTACAGCTTCTATTTTATGTGATCGAATAACTTTAAAAAGCTTTAGCAAACATGTTTATACAAATAATTATTTTAAATTTCAAAATATCTAGATTGTTTAACTAATTTTTGTTGTTGAGTTAGTATTAAATCGTCTGGTAAAGTTTGGTTTTGTAAATAATTAAAAAGATGATTATATTGTATTATATCCATTTTGAGCTGTTTGTCACACTGCAAACACTTCAGCTTTCACTCAAATAAATATATTTTAATAAATGTTGAGGTGAATAGGAGATTAATAAGAAGATGAGGGAATAATATCTAACATTTCATAAAGTTGAGAATATGCATTTTCTTGTTGTACTAGAACTGGTTCTTCCCACTATACGTCATTAACTAGATAAGTTGGTTTCATATCAGGATGAATTTTTCCTCTTTCATATCCTATAATACAATCATGAATAATTGTACCATAAGGTAGATTCTTTTTACACGTTTTACAATAAGTATGAATATGATGATTTTCAGTATCACAGGCGAAAGTACATTGAGATTCACTTTTGGTAATAGGTTGATTAGCTATGACTAGTTTAATCTTAATATTTTCACGATATATATCTTCCATTTCATCCTTTAGGCTTTCGTATCCAACTGTAGTAATTAAGGATACGTTGGAGAACTGTTGAAGTAATTGTTCCTCAAACCATTTTTCTTTATTATCTTTAATAGAGTTATGTTTAGAAGAAATGTGCCATTCGTTTTCTGATTTTTCAATTTCCTCAGTAGTTACCATGAAAATTTCACATGTATTATCTTTGTATTTTTGGTTAATATGATTTGTGAGAAGGCATCAGCATTAGAATTTAGCTTTCCAGGCCTATGCTTAATTTCAAAATCGTACTGTTGAAGTTCCATGATCCATTGTGCTCTCCTTCCTTTAAGAATTTTTGAAGTTTGTAACCATTTAAGAGCTGAGTGATCGGTAATAATAGTAAAAGGTTGTGAGCTTAAATAATGGTGAAAGTATCTCACAACCCATACAACTGCAAGGCATTCCTGATCAGTTATTCCATAATTTTGCTCAGCTTTGTTTATACTTCTGCTGGCATATGCTACCACACAATCAAGCCTATTTTCTAACTTTTGGGAGAGAACAGCTCCTAAGCCATTTCCAGAAGCATCGGTATATAAGATAAATAGTTTATTAAAGTTTAGATACTGCAAAATGGGTGCAGTAATTAATTTCTCCTTTAGAATATCAAAAGCTTTTTGTTGAGCATCTGTTCACAAAAACAGTTCTTCCTTTTTCAACAATTGAGTTAGAGGTTTGGCAATTTTTGAGAATCCTGGAACAAATCATCGATAATATGAGAATAATCTTAATGCAGACCTCAAACTTGTTAGGTCAACTAGAATGGGAAAGCTTTTAACTTTATCAATTTTTATAGGGTCAGATTGTAATCCATTTCTTCTAACTACATGTCCTAAGTACGTTATATTAGGTAGGCAAAAATGACACTTTTTAAGTTTAATCATTAAATTTGCTTGCTTGATTGCTTGGAATACTTTTCTCAAATGTTGAATATGATTCTCATAAGTTGTTGAGTAAATAATGATATCATCTAAATAGACAGCAATGAATTCATATAAGAATTCTTGGAGAATATGATTCATTAACCTTTGAAAGGTTGCTGGTGCATTCTTTAGTCTAAAAGGCATAACATTGAATTCGTATAGACCAAACTGAGAAATAAAAGCAGTTTATTCCTTATCCTTTTCACTCATTTTTACTTGCCAATAACCACTAGCAAGGTCAAGTGTAGAAAACCAATTTGCTTCTCTGAATTTCTCTAATAAGTCATCAATTCTTGGTAGAGGATATGCATCACTTTTAGAAATAGAATTTAGCTTTCTGTAATCAATGCAGATTCATTTATCTCCAGTTTTCTTTGCTACTATAACTACAGGAGAAGCCCAGAGACTTAACGACTTTCTGATAATTCCATTTTCTTTCATACGTTTGATTTCATTCTTGAGGAAGTTAAGCTTTACTGGATCTTTGCATTTATAAGCTTCTCTGGTAACCGGATCATGATTATTGGTCAAAATGTTATGTTTTACCAAACTAGTTCATCCAATTTTTGTTTGGCTTAAGGCACATATATCTTCATAATCATCAATTAATTTTTGAAAGGACATTTGCTGCTTGTCATCAAGAAGTCCAACTTGAAGGTCATCTTTAATTTTCCAAACATTTTCTTTAGAAGTTTCAGCAAGAAATACTGCTGGATTAGCTTCAAATTCTTCCTTAAATACTAGAGTTAAATAGACAGGATTTTCTTCATTCCAGGGGTTGTAGTCGAAGGGTAGAAGATCAGTTTTCTCCTCATATTCTTCTTGACTGTCTGCCATATATGCTTCAATTTCGCTAAGTTCCTCTTCCTCATAATCATCTAAAACTTGTTCTAGTTCGTCATCCTGTTAATTTTGAATAGTAGGATAACTAACAGGGGCTTCATTGGCACTAGAAGTTATAGGAACTGTAATTGTTTTTGCTAAATATCTCAACCTAATTTGGTTGGTTTTGAAATCAAGGCTAGCATGAGTTTTTCTAAACCAATCTGTTCCTAAAAGTAAGGTTTCATCTTGTGAGTCGATAACTTGCAGAGAGATAGGAATTAATAGGTTTTAGATGGCAATTTAAGCTCTTTTAACTTGTTCTAATTCTCTAGTTCTTTCTCCATTAGCAGTGACTATGACAGTATTAGACTGTTCATCAATAGATAATCCTAATTTTTTCATTAACTTCCTGGTGATAATGCTGACAGCAGCTCCAGAATCTAAAATAGTGACAACAGGGTTTCCTTTAATTCTAACATAGCAATGAACGGCTGTAGATTTATCTTCTTTCTCTTCTTCACTTTCTTGATTAGCATAATTTGTTTCTTGAATTTTTGGTCTCCTCAACTCTTGAGTAAGGTTACGTCTCTGATTTGGGTATTGCAAAAGCTGACCAATTTTTGCAGAAGAAGACATTTGTAACAAATCTTGCATGACATTATAGGGAGCTATTTGATCAATTTGGAATGGTTCTCGTTTAACTTTCTTCTTTTGAGTAGGAGTAATAATTTGTGGGGTTTTCACTTCCATAAATTCATCAATGGGTTTTCTGCTTCTCAAGTTTAGTTCCCTTCTGGATTCAAATTGTCTCTTTCTTTCTGTTTCTAATTGTTGAGCAGTTTTTCTATTAGTAGTATAAGGTTTATTTCGTGGAAAGGCATAGACTTCTTCCTCCTCTACTTCTTCAATTTCTTCTTCTTCACTATCTGTAAAAACTCCAACATAACTGGCTTCTCTTTT